CTCCAGAACGGTCTAGACAGGTCTATGCCTTACTCATCTCTTACTCATCCTATGGTGCGATATGTCGCAATTCTTTCGTCGTTGTATTATTCATCGCACTATGGTACATGTGACTAACCACTCTTCGATTAGTCATGGACACTTCTCTGTAGTATATAAGGACTTCAGATTGCGTCCTCCCTCTTCAGTCTTTCCTTACTGACTGAAGAGTGAGTACTTCGTTACCTTTACCTCTAACTTGTAGTTACTTACTTGACCTTAGTGTTGTGCAAGGCCGGGCTCAAAGCCCTGAAGCCCCGGGTACCCGGCCTCCAAAAGCCCGGCCCAGCCCAGCCCGGCGTCGGGCTTTCAGGGCTTGGGGGCCCGGCTTGAATGTCTGCAAGCCCGAGCCCAGCCCTCAAGCCCGGGCTTGAGGAGGACCTCTGTATCAGACCGCGTAGGGCCTTGAACAGCCGTCCGAGATGCTGAAAGGTAAGTGAAAAGTAAGGGTCGACTCACAAAGCTTGACAGTGATGCCTCTCGGCGGACCTGGTGCAGATGGACACGGCCGGTTGGGTGAGCGCTAGACCTGCCTGATTCAGGACTGCGGCTCACAGGGTTCGTACCGTCTTCTCTTCGCCAAAAGTGGCCATTAACATGCTGCTTACTCTTTCTTTCATGTGTAGCAAGGCCTACAAATGAGCTGAGGTACGTTTCAAATGCTAATTCTTCATGTATATGTGATAGGCCTAAAGCCCGGGCTTGAGCCTGACCCGACCCGGACCCAGCCCGAGCCCACCACTAGGGCCCGGCTCGAGGGTTCAGTGAGCCTGAGCCCTTCAAAGCCGGGCCCTAGCCCGGGGTTTTGAGCCCGGCCCGGCCCTGCACAACACTACTTGACCTTTGTAGTCTTGCTTCGACTCTAGGTACAGTTGGTTACTGCAATATAGTCTTTCCTTACTGACTGAAGATCTTGCTTCGACTCTAGTCGGATCTAATCTTTGTCTTCACAGCCCCGAGTTTATCAGCCCTATACAACGATAACTGGCGAGTGCTGTCGTGCTTCCTTGCTTACGGCCTTCTAGCAACGTCCTTGGCCATCTTGAGTCCCACAAACTCATCTCGTAATACTTATATCCAATGTCAATGTATCACAGTAGGTGTTCTACAAGGCATTAGGGCGTCAAAGATCAGCAGAAAGATCAGCAGATCGGTGGACAATTGATATCTAGTTGTGAGGGCTTCGTGTCACAGACTCAGTGAGTGCCAAATGTTGGGGAAAGCCTCACGCTGTAGTGAGAACGAACTGAATTGCGTCTTCAATCTCATAGGTCTCGTTGTTCGTTCATGAAGTTCCTCCCCCCTCTGGAAGACTGGGTGTTCCGCTCACATTTCTTCAATAGACCTTGCAGCAGCCTGGGGTATCTCATTTGCATTTGATGTCATGACGTTCGCGCTCGCTGTACAGAATGATGGTCACGGCCTTCAAATTCCGCATGGCCTACTGGAGCAGGTTATAAGTTCAGCTGCTACGTGATGGTAAGTAGCTTGACTGTTCATCTACTATGTTTACGTTAAAGCAGGAATCATCGGATCGGAGCAAGTAGGAGTAGTATACTTCGGGTAATGTGCTTCGTGTGGTGCCACTGCGACCACGCTGACCCCCAAAGATACTGACAATTGTGTCCACCAAGAGGATCCTACGTGTCTGCAACGTCACGAATATATTGGCCTTCGTGGTAAGAAGCACAAAGTATCGTAGGGGAAAGCGTGCTCACAGAACTCTCAGCTCCCACAGATGCCAGTGAGCATACCTTGCCTCTCGGACCATCGTTCTCTCTCTGCATACGGCTCTTGCCGCAACATCATAGCCCGTATACAGAGGAGCAAGCGTTACAACCACAACCGTGTACGTGCTGGCTGAACTTCTGAAGCGCAAATATATGGCGTGAAATACACGGCGTGTTGACCTCTCGTACTTTAAATCTACAGGATCTCGAGCTCCGCCAGGCTCCTACCCACCGTCGTTCGAGTTGAGGGGGCGATTTCCGAGAGGGGGAGGACAAGCTGAATCCGAAAGAGTACGAAATCTTGTACAATAAGCGCCAGATCAACTGTATCATTTGCGAACGAGAATCTATTGCACATGTGGAAAAGAGGGCTGCACCTTTGTATTCTAATCTACTGAAAGCAATTGCAAGCGACTATTGGGTCCCTATACGTTGTAGTATTCGAAAGCTGGGTTCCCGGGTTCTGCGCTCTCGACGAGCCCCTTTGTGAGGGTTGACAGGTCTTTTGACTTCGCGTCGTCTACCAAGAGGACCTCCGCGTCGGTCAGATTCAATGTCCGCTTCAGGTACGGCAAGATCTCGTGAAGGATCTTGACCTCCGAGAACGGCACCGTGCGGTTGAAGGCGGTCTGCGTGCCGAATTGTTGCATGCGTTTCTGCACATGCCATGTTTAGCGATGCCCTGAGGTATGAAGAATGGACGGAATGTACCTTGAACGCTTGCACGAACGGCATCGCGCGCTTGTCCTTGATCAAGCCGCGTTGTGTCAGAAGCTCGCGCACCTTGGCATCGTCGACCTTGTCATGCTCGGGCGAGTACGCGTCCTTGACGATCTGCACGCACGTCTCCTGCCACTCGGGGAACGCCGTTGAGACGTAGATGCGGACCGCGCGGGGCCGCTTGGGGTCGTACGTCGCCTGGCCCTGCTTGCCCTTGTTCATCTTCTTGAGCAGCGAGAGCTCCGCGTCGCGCATCGTCTTGATCGTTCCGCGCATGTACACGGCCGAGTCGAGGACGGTCTGGTCGACGGGGCGCGTGACTGCTGGCCACTGCGCAAGTTGGACGGACTTGGGCTCTTTTAGAATCGTGCTCCAGACGTGTTCGGCGAAGTGGGGCGCCACGGGGAGGGCGAGAAGAGCGGCGGTACGGATCCACCACTCGACAAGGTCGGCATGCATACCGACGTCGGCAGTGACCTCACGGTACCAATCGCGTGTTGACTGGAGCTCATAGAAGCCATATTTCAAGGCGTCCTTGTAGGTCATGCTGTAGATGATAGCTGATCAGTACAGCCGTGAGATTCGAAGGAGATCCTAGTCGACATACTCGGCATAGAACTGCTTAGTCTTGATGTTCAGGTCGTTGACCTCATGCTCGAAGACCAGGTCGTGGTAATTCTTCTCGCCCGTGCGCAGCTGACCCTTGTTCTTGATTTGTTCCTGCAGCAACCTATTAGCACCGCCCCGATCTCTGAATGTGTTAAGCACGCACATCACACCACGCGATGAGCGTATGCAGACGCAAGATGTTCGCGTTCGCCGTCTTCTCGTCAAAGTTCGCGTCCTCAATGCCATCGCCCGCGTCCGCCAAGCACAGCCGCGTCGCGTCCGCGCCGAACTTCTCGATACATTGGCGCATCGTCATCGAGTTGCCTTTGCTCTTCGACATCTTCTGCCCGTTGACCATCAGGTGACCGTTCGTGCGCATGCTCAGCGGCCACTTCTCCTCGGGGAAGAGCGCCGCGTGGATGTACACGCAGAACGTGAGGTGATTCGGGATCAGGTCCTTGCCTGACGAGCGCACGTCGAAGGGATAGAAGTAGTTGAAGTCGTGCTTAAGCCGGTCCGCCTTCTCCTTGGGCAAGGGCGCGGGGTTGGGGAAGGGCCCGCCATTGAGAACGTAGTCCCAGACCTCGTCAGTCATTTGGTCGGCGGTGATGCCGAGGTCACCGGGTTCGCTGCCGTCGAGCTTGCCTGTGCGAGGTCAGCTGCGCCTCGATTGGAGATTAGAGTGGACTTACTGTGCAGATGGTGGGCGATGGTGTAGTACGCCATGTAGATCGTCGAGTCGCTCAGACTCTCAACCAAGAAGGTGGGGTCCCAGGGAATCTTCGAGCCGAGACCGTACGTACGCGCGCATGCCCACTTGTTCAGCCAAGCCAGGACGCCCTCGAACGCGTTGCGGGTCTCGGCATTATAGGTCTCCATCTTCGCAACGAGCCTAAGGTTGGCGATCAGCATGTAAACTATTGAGCCACGGCAGCGGAAAGACGTACTTCTCAGCCTGCGCCCTCCACGAAGGCTCGCCGTAGTCCAAGTACCACTGGTCCATCAGCGCGATCACACACTCGTCCGAGCTCCGCGAGATGATCAGCCCCTCGGGCTCCGCGTACGCGAACGCCAACCCAGACGAGATCAGCTGCTCGCGCACCCGCGGCTTCGCCTCCTGCACCGCTAGGCCCTTGAACTCGCCCACCAGCATCGTCCCGTTGTAGAAGCCCTCCTTGTACGCGATCTCCTTCGCCTCCGCGAGCTGCTTCGTGTCCTTCTGGCTCTGGATCTTAAGCTGCTTGATCACCGCTGGCGCCGTCATCTCTCCGTACGTCGGCGTCGAGATCACCGGCACCGGGTCATACTGCATCCAGGAGGGATCGACCTTGTAGAATTCAGGCTTTTTGCGGAGGTCGGTCAGCGTCTGGAAGTCGTCCGGGGAGTCGGAGGGGACGGAGGTGACGACACCCGTGCCCTTCGTCGGGAGGACGTTCTCCATGGGGAGCACGTACACTTCCGGGTTGACGGAGAGGGGCGCCTTGATTTTCGTGCCGACGAGCAGCGAGCCCTCGATCTCCGCGAGCTGGTTGACCTCGCCGCGGACGGCGGTGATACCCTGGAAGGCCATGTTGCGCGCCGCGCGGTAGGTGCAGACGTACGCCTCCTTGTCGTTGATGCCGAAAACGCCGTACTTGATCTGCGTGCCGACGAAGCAGTTCGTCTGGCCGTACCTTCCAGTCCTCCGTCAAGGTGTATGAAACATCGCCCAGTGAATGGCTACTCACATCGTCTCCGGTCTCAGGGTAGCGGCGACCAAGAACACCTTCCGGCTCCCGACCTTCTCCCGGATCATCTTCTCAGCAGCCTCGGGAAAACTGACGACCTCCATCTTGATGCCCGTGTACTCCGTCGGTCCCAGGGCCTCGCCCTCGGAGCGATCGTGGTCCATACACGGCTGGCCATCTTTTGGACTGTAGACAGTGTATCGCTCGCCGAACTTGATCTTTCCCAGCTTATACAGCTTGTTGGTCTGCCACCGGACGAACGCATCGTAGTAGGGGTTCGCGACAGTCGTGATGAATGACCGGCGCCAGTCTATCCTCGACCCGAACAGCTTGTTGTCTTCCTATGCACATGCATATGCTGTTCAGCCATCGTACGGGACGACATGGCACACGACGCGCAGGACGCAATGATCGAGGACTCACGATGCAGATTGGGGGGTAGTACTTCAACCAGTAGTACGGGTCCGCAAACTTCTTGATCTCCTCCCGAGGCACGCCCATCGACTCCATGATCTGGAACTGGTATTGCAGCCCGGTCGCCTTCGCCGCCACCTTGCCCTTCTTCCCCTTGTCAACGGCTTTCGCGGAGCCATCTGACGTCGTCGCGGGCGCGGCGGGGGTAGGCTCCTCGTCGGGGACGAAGCGCTCAAAGTTTTCACCGAACATCTCGATCTCGCGTTCGATTTTGTCTGCCGCAGCCTGTCCGCCACCATCGGTTCCCTCCCTCGCGTGCGAGACAGAAAGACATACGACGCACCTTGATCGGCATGCCCGTACAGTGGAACCCGTGCGGAAACAACACCCGCTTCCCCACCATCCGATGGTATCCCGCCGCGAACTCGATTTTTGAGATGGTGAAGGCGTGTCCGAGATGGAGAGAGCCGTTCGTGTACGGGTAGGGGAAGTTCCCGAACCACTTGGGATACTGCTCCTTGATCTGCGCCGGGGTGAGGCCGCTGAGCTCCTCCGGGGACGGTGCCTCGACCTCGAAGAGCCGCTCCTTCTCCCACCTGGCTTGGTACTTGAGCTCGAGCTCGCGGAGCTCGTCGCGTTTGCCGGTCTGGGCGAGCTCGATGGTGTTCGCGGAGGCGTTCGCCATGGTGCGGGCGCGGACGTGGAGTGGATTTAGACTCGTAAAACGAGCGAGACGTACAGGACGTCGGCAGAGAGAGAGAATGGTGGCCAATGCAGTCCCGATAGAGCAGCTAAATCAAGATTTGGGCGAGCTGTGAGCAATCGATGTAAGCTCGAGTCATCTGGACGTTAGATGCAGATCATTTCTCCTGCGAACAGTGACCGGGGTCCTCCTCTCTCTCTCTGAACCATCTACACCTCTCCAGAGTACCACACGGGCATGATATACAGTTGAAAAAACATAGGAGGTACTTACGTTCAGAGCTGGCGTGCGCGAAGAGACAAGGTGCGCGAGGACGTGACAGCAAGCTAAGCGAGTTTCCCGACTTAGGGTTTGCCACACACCTAATCTGGGGTTAGGGTATACTGGCAAAACACTGGTCCGTCAATCTCCTTTGCGTCCTTCTGCTGGTACTAGGCGAGAGAGAATCATGAGGCTGTCGCGATGTTTGAGCTGTTCCGGTGAGCTTTGGGATTCTACAGTGGACATGTCGCAACCGATTGGTGGAGTGATTTCTAAATGCGGCCAGGAAATCAAGCGCTCATCGAGTCCGATACCCCGTTCACCAAATATTTCACGGTACTGTCTTCGATTGCTGATGCTTTGAATGCATCTGTCACAAAGAAGTGCGAGATATGCATCAGAAAAATTGTTCAGCTGCATTTGTACGACCTGGAACTGTACATGGCATACCTCAAGTGTTCACGCTCTCTGACAACCTCGTACGCACGTTCACCCACAAGCGCGCATCGCGGGCGCGCCGCTGTATCGACGCTGGATGAGCCGCGGCTGCATGAGACACGTTCTGAGCGTCATATCAACTGTATACACTTCGTTTTTGAACACGCTCTATCGACTATATGCGTCAGGTACCAGAGACTGCGTCCTCTTACCTCATGATTGGCTCGTTTGGCCGCCAGTTGCCGGCTACTGAGTCGTATCGAAGGGCTGTGCGGTTGACGATGGTGAACAGAGGGTCCAAAGGGCGAAGTGACACACAAGGCTATGACATGAGCGGTGAGTCAGAGAGTAGGCTAACCCGATAGTTGTGCAGTCGAAGGAAGACTGCCCGCCGCACTCCTTATTTGGCAGTCCCAGCCGACCAGAATCCAATATGACGAACACTACTGAATTCTTCCCCCCTCGGCATACGCACTCCTCATTATCGGTTTCTCTCTCTGTATATGCTCTGACCCCCTCCGCCTGGTGCGGATCTGTATGTCGCTTCGAAAAACTTTGGCAGCAGGGCCAAGCGCAGCGAGAAGCGAAGTCCTAGATGCCCCGAGTGGTGAGTTCAATAGCATTCTACCTACTGTATGTGGTTTGGAATATCAGGATGTCAATCTCAAGAGCGACAGAGCCCCCCTTGCTCACGATCGTGGAGATGATGCGGTGAACATGCCTCGGCTTGACTGAGAACAGGGCTGACGGTGACTGCACGGACGCAGGGTACCTTGGAATCGGACTGGTAAACCTCGTCGTATCTTACTCGATACGTCCATGATCGATCCGCCCTGTCGTCCCCCTGCGCCAAGCCAGATAAAGCGTAGCTTTGAGATGCAACCAACAAGGAGAGATAAGGGCGTGGAAGTGCGAGCCGCTTATCTGAGCCGGTCGCGACAACGCGGCTCCGACGCGATGTCGTTGTACGCTTTTGTGCCCTCTACCGCAACTTCTAGCGGCGTGAGCGTTCGCGGAAGGCTCACTGCCCTTGCCTACAGCGACCCTATCTATGTCAAACATTTTACACGCGAAGCAGTCGTGGGCGCCGCCTCGCTCGAATGTGAGTTTATCTGACACTCCATATGGGAAGTAATCTTCACTGACTTCTGCCGCGCGGCTCCAGGACTTCGATCCAAAGCGCGATTCACAAGGAGATGTCCAAGGTATGACGTCCACCATGTTTGCCTGTGCTCAGCATGTGGACATCGTCCTTCCTCTCCGCCACGGGCTAGCTTACGTGCGTTTAGATCCACCACGCGAACCCAAGATGTCGGCATCAGAGCAACTGCCATCTCTGCAGCCCATGCCGTGTGCAGGCTTTGACACCAACGCTCCCTGCGTCCGGAGCGCCCTGACGAGCGCCCCAGCCGAGGGAGGGCGATCACGCGGGTTGGCGAGCATATATCCAGAAGCCACCACCCATCGCATCTCGCCCCGGCTTGTCGCTTTCCCACCACTTCTTCAGGTCTCGCCCCCAGGGCAGGACGACGTCGCGCATCCGATGTCCAAGCCCGGCCTCACGTCTTCGGAGGGTACGTCACTTTCTATCAGCGCCCGCTGCTGTCGGATTATTGATCGCTCGCTCTGGCTTCCGGCGTCTGCAGGCGGGGAAGAGTCGATCGAGATACCGTCTGGTGAGCATCCAGTCTATACTCTATGTGCAGCCGGTGACGCGCGCGGTGTGTCTGTCTGCTTTATGCTGACCATATCTTGTGCAGAGAAAGGTGGCTCAGTCGACAGCGGGTCCATTCGGGAGTACCGGTTGTACAAGCGACGATGGGTAGGGCTTGTGGCTCTCGTACGTGTGCCCTCTTGCATCCTAGATTGTGGGACTATTTCTCATAACGATGAACTATGGCCAGGTCATACTCAATATCGTAGCGGGTACGACGCTTGTGTGGTTTGGGCCCATAGCAAACACGGGTATGTTACCCTGCATGTTAACGAGACGGAACGCTGAGGCTATCTAACCTTGAAGTGGCGAAGGACTTTGGCTTCACGTTGAACCAGATCAATTGGTTTGGAAACGTCGTCAACGTCGTCTACCTCCCTTCCGCCTTCGTTGTGCCCTACTTGTACGGGAGGTTAGGCGTACGGAAAACGGTATGCCTCATTCTCGCCATCACCGCCGCAGACCGACCTAATTCCTGCCAGTGCTTCATCGCTGGCGCACTATTCGTAGTATCCGCTTGGGTTCGGTATGCAGGAACTGCGCGCGGTTTGTCGGTCAACGGATCGTACGCTTTGATTATGGTGGGACAGGTGCGTATCGCAGTGCTCGTTTTTCAGGCGGTGCGTTCTGAACGGTATCTAGCTCTTGGCAGCGGTAGCACTCCCTATATTACAAGTGGTCGTTCCGAGCTATTCAGAACGATGGTTCGACTTCAAGGGTCGGACGACGGCTACGATGATCATGGGTCTCGGTAGGTGCTCTGCAATGCGTATCCTCGTCGCACCAGAATACAACTGAATCCCCTCCTCTGCGCAGCGAATCCTGTTGGAAGTGCGATAGGGCAGCTGGTCCCACCCCTTGTTAGCACAACGCGGCAGTCGGTGCGTTGTCTGCTAGCCGGAGCATCTCTCCTCTTTGATACGGAAATAGATACTGGTCATGGCGATTATTTTCACGGCTGCAGCTCCCGTCGTCATCTTCGTAGGAGAGGCTCCACCTACACCTCCCAGTATGTCTCCCCCTCTAGATTGGGACTGCTCGCAGCCGCTTACCATGCGACGCAGCCTTCGCTGCTACCCACAGGCATCCATCCCTGACATCTCTCATGCACGCGATGTTCGGAAAGGTGCCTCGCGATCGATATGCGTACATGACCGTGCGCCAGAGGATCGATTTTGTGATTCTCTGCCTCTTGTTCGGCGTCATCGTAGGAGTGTAGGTTATCGGTTCAAATCTGGCTTCGGCTACGATATCACATGCTTATCTCGTTTTCTCAGTGTCAACACCTTTGGGATTCTGACGGCGGAACAACTCGTGCGTTCATGCGAGCGGCCCTCCCATTATTATCGCGCTGACACGTTCACGCAGGAACCCTACGGATACTCAGATGATACCGCCGGGCTGATGGGAGCCGTCCTGCTCCTCGTCGGACTGGTCGCGGCGGCGATCAGTTCGCCGCTCTTCGACCGCGTCTTCACGAGACATCTAGCGCTCTTCGGGAAGCTGCTCCTTCCCGGCATCGCCGCCTGCTACCTCGCGCTCATATGGGAGAGTACGTAAGATCGCTTTGTCGGACCATGACGTCGAGTGCAGCTCGTATGGCTGCACAATGCTGACTGCGTGCCCGCGAACCACAGTTAAGCCGAACAACGCGGCAGTGTTGTATGTGCTCGTGGCCATCATCGGCGCCATAGGCCTCACCCTCCTCCCGGTCGTGCTCGAGCTTGGAGTCGAGCTCACGCGGAACGCGAATGGCAGTTCGGCGGTGCTGTGGTTCTCGTATGTCGCTGAGTGGCGTGCTTCTTTCGATGACATGGCAGACACAGCTGATCGCTCGGATCCCAGCACGAACCTGTTCGGACTCATTTTCGTCCTCGGTGAGTTCCATGAGCGTCTGTTGACGGATCATCTTGGCGATGACGAAGCCGCATTACTGGCGATCGCTCATCCACGTTGTACTTGCATCAGTCGAAGGCGCGCTGCGTGCTGGCCCCGACGCGGATCCCCCATTGAACATGCACCGCGCGTTCATCTTCCAGGGCGCGGTGGTCGCAGTGGTCGTCGTGTTCGTCTACCTCGTAGAGGGCAAGCAGACGCGTCGTTTCCAGGACGAGGAGAAGCGCGAAGAGGCTGACCGAGCGCTGGACCTCGAGAGCCGTCGCCGCCAAGGAGCGCAGGTGGAGGTGCATGAGGTGCAGTCGCGGACAGCGGTCGGCAGCACGCCGGAGGAGCCGAAACCCCAGATGTCGCCGAGCGACGTCGACTTGGAGAGCGGGAAGGAGACGGAGGGTCCGGTCGGTACGGGGACATGAGAAGGCTTGCGAGGTGTTGCCGTGTTCGATATTTGTGAGACTGGTACGGTGTGGGCGCTCTACCGAAGGTCCGGTGGAGACATGGCGGGTCGTTGGTCTCTTCCGGCTCAGCCGTTTTCTGCGCTTGTGTGGACCAGTACTGATCACATCCGTCTTTATTAGGTGACGATGTTGACCCCCGCCTTCACCGGGGTATGGACGCCTTCATGGGCACCTTGCACTGCTTTTATCATTATGTATCAACTGCGACGTGTGTCATTTCATATGTTGTACCAACAGCCAGTAATCTGTACATTGCTTCCGTTGACTGTGTCGTTTCCGTGCCCCATTTGGCTTCATCAGTGCGACACCATGAGGCAGCAAGATCAGTTCGCAGCCATGTGCCAAGACAATATTGATGCACATTGATCTTCGGTACGTTCATGGTCCCTAAGCGTGAACCTGCCGTTGCAGCTGGAATGAATGCGTTCGTTCGATCATTTACGCTATGACTGAAATGACCGGACATATTGGAATCTAAGGGAGTTCATGTTGTCAAGTTCGATATGAGAGTTAGTACGTCTAACCAGCGTTCTAGCACACTCGAAGCTCAGGTCTAGAACGATACCTCTTCAAACGCAGTTTCATTGATTTAGTTCGGCGATAAATAGCAGACTGATTACAGTGATGGTACTAAGGGTATGTGCCGGAACAGAGGGCTATACGCGCTAGGTACGTAAGCCTCATCGTGACGAGTCCCCGCATATATTATAGGCGAGGGCATGTCGGGAGTCGAGGCTTTCACTGAGGGAGACTGCTGACGTCGCGCGGGTCCGTGCCACAATCTGTCTGAAGGACGTTGAACTCGACATCGTCGGGCTTAGGGGTCAGCTGCGTGACAGTTGCGCCAGTGAACCACTATGCGATGACGTGCAAGATGAGCAGACAGATCAAGAGGAAGCGAGACAAAACGGAGGCATAGTGGTTACTCACGATGAAGTGGCCGAATTGGCGGTCGCCGTAGTTGACCTGGACGTTACCCGTCTGAGACGAGTGCTCGACCCCGGCGACATAAACAGCCTGCTTGCCGGGCGGGATGCTGAACTGGACGGACTGGGACTCCGTCGAGGAGGACGAAGACGAAGTAGACACGCCGCCGCCGATGGTGATGCCCTCGACGTTCACACCGAGGTTGGCGTTCACCTCCGTCGTCTGCGTCACGGTCGTCGAGCCACCGAGGGTGACGGTGATGTCCTCGGTGCCGCCTCCGCAGTTGAGCTGCGGGTCGCCGAGGGGCTTCCACACGCGGATGTCAGGGTTGTTGACGATGTTGACCTGGGTAAGTAGACGGTCGAAGGGGCCATATGAGTACGACGCCAATCAGGAGCGGTGTGCACGGCGGGCTGCTGACTCACCAAGGTACACTTGTCCGCCTTCTCTACTGCTTTGGATCCGGGGCCACCAGGGCACGAGGCGAGAAGGTCAGCGTCGGCGGGCGAATCATCGCGCCTGCCGACGGTGAAGGCGTAGGTAGCACTCAAAAGAGAGAGGGCGAAGGCGGCGTTGACAATCATAACGATGCTGAGTATGCGTGTGTGGAAAGGTGACTCTACCCGAGAGCAGTGCGATGGCGTGAACGAACGTGGGGTATGTAGTGAGCGAGGCGGCGGCGCGTCGAAGAGGTAAATATCCCGCCGAGGGGGCCCATGCGGAGGTGGAGCTAGCCTTTATAGCCGGACGTAGAGGTGAAATGGGGAACCTGGGTCGAGATGGGCGGCTGGGGGTCGGTTACAAGCCACATGCAGTATCTCAACGAGCTCGACTCACGAGACATGTTCCCTGTAGTATGGGAGCGCTTGAGTCGTCCTCCAACACCTAGAACGAAAGCGCTGTGCGTCGTGCTCGTAACGGGTAGACAAGAGCGCGACGCGCATCAAGGCGAGCTGGTGCGCGGCAACAGAGCATCATCATAACGAGCCAAGGTTTCAGACCCTTCACATCGCTGCGTGCCAAGGAAGTACGCGTGGAGTTTGGACAGAGGTGGAGCTGCGACGGTGTCTAGTACAACCACACATCAGCCAAGGTGTGACCATGACGAACGGGAACCTGTCATATAGAGGTCAGTGTAATAATCAAATTGTATTTGGTAAAGGACCGACCACTTCACTTACTTCGCGAACCAGTGAAGCGCTTCACAACCCTACTAACACCACACGTCGCGACGCGGACTGCATTTGAGAAAGCCGGCCAGTGTCCCAGGACGAAGGGACCGTGAGCTTTCGGCAAGCCTCTGAACTCCACCCTATGATCTCGAGTGATCCGAACTACAGTAGTGATGGCATCGCCGACGCATAGCTCAAGATCTCCCTCTCATAGAAGACGCTTGCCAAGCATGCACCTCGAGCCCGAGACTTCTCTCGCCTGACTTGGCTGATGCACGAGCTTTACCCTGACTGAATAAGGTCTCGCTCGGCATGCAACGCCGGTCGCTGTTTGATCGCACTGATAAGTCGCTATCACAACGTCCGTTGTGCTGCGAAATATTCAGTAGGGCCAGAAGTTTGCAATTTGCGAGGCCAAGGGCCTGGGCGATTTGCGGGATTGCACAAGCCAGGAGTACTTGTCGTTGTGGGGGAGTACTGCCATTAAATCTTGCGCTGCGGTTGCCTGCATTGGTGGAGGATCTGTCAGAAGTTGTTGTTCGATGACGATGCTGGTTGCAACTGCCAAGAACACGAGTCTTCCCGTAGGCGGGAGGAGGGTGCGGTAACTTACATGAAGAAGCCGTGATTCGGTCCGGACCTGAATCTAACCTACATGACATGAGATGATATAGTAATGAGGCAGTCCTTACCGACGGAGAGATGCTTACAAACTGCCTTCCGCAGTTCGGAGGATGGACGGTGTCCGCATTTGGCAGCTCAGGTTGCGACCGATCTGTCCGGCGGCGATAACCATCGAATATCACAGTTGGAGACTCCGAGACTGGAGTGAATGCGAAGGCTGAAACTGAGGTAGGGCATAAGTACAGTACGATACGTACTTACAGATCACGACGAGGGACAATGAGATGAACAAGATGAGGATGAATTGCTCTCCACCTGAACACCGCCTTGTGAGGGTGCACCATGTCATAGACGGGTGTGAGGCTTTCCTGGTTGCGGATCCGATCATTGGCTTTGGGTAACTGGAGACACCGCACAGTCCTAAGACACCTAGACGGACCTGGGTCTCGCAGGGGAGATGGGTTGAGCTTGCCCATAGTGACGCTCGAGATCTCCATTCCAGTCGTGCATCTCCCAAGGACATGATTGGAATGCAGCGCTGAGACGAAGCTAGACCGTGCAGACTTAAGCTTACAAGGACGTGCCATCTAACACGATACCTCTCTCAAAGGCGTTCTAGGAATTATGGACCCATTTCGCATCATTGGTTGTGCGAACTTACCCACTGCAGTCGATATTCTCAAGGAGCCGTTCCCGCCGTGGCTTCTTGACCTGAGCCCTCATAGTTCGTCAACCTCCAGTCCATTGCCACGAGCGTTCGGGGCCAGAGACAGACTAGTTCTTCGGGCACTTCTGACATAGCACATGATGCGAGGACAGACGGGAATGGGACTTGGGGCCGCGGACGCTGAGTCTTCCATTTTGCGGCTGCTCTGCTCAGCTTTGGTCGCGACTGCATCTTCTATACTCTACGCAAATGAACGTTACTGAGTCGAGAGATGAATTAGGCGACTGTGGAGAGAAGGAGAAGTGGAGGAGTACAGGATGCTCCGCAGGGCTCCGGCGTCCCTGAGCCACACCACCGGGCGCTTGTTCCCCAGCATCCTCTGCGACGACCACGACGACCCCATTCCTCGACTCTACACCCATCTTAGACTCACCATATACCCTCTGTGACCTCTTCGAGCACTGCCATGTCCGGAGCCCAGACCCCCAGCGAACTCCCGGGCGAGGTGCGTTCTCCGTGGCGATTCTGACGGCATTACCGCTGACACGGTGCGTCACCATATGATTGTCTCGACCTCGGCCCACGACTCGCGACGTCCGGCCCTTCGTAACATTCTTCTCTTCCGACTCTTTCCATCATCCGAACGTAGGGAGTCCCAACCGCGCAGAAGAGCAGCTGGACAACCTTCCTGAAATCGTACGCACCCTTAGTTGTTTTCCACCCAATGCTCTTGATTTTGATCTATACATTCCATCTCATTTCCCCGCATTTCGCATGTCCGCGCCACCGGGTGTCCTCCTGGCACGTTCTGAATCTCCAGAATTGCCTCGTTCTCCGGAGATCTCTCGTCGCTCACCGCGCCGCCCTTCATTCTCTCACCCATCTCGCTCACCGAGTTCCCTGGTACGCATGTCAATGGCTGTGGAGTGTGAATCGCGCGAGTCTGACCCGCCTGACCTTGCGTGGGCCCTATCGATCGCAAATAGCCTATTGGTGTGAGCGCCCTGCTCTATTCGCGGCGATCGCGGATGCGCAGACGGAGCAGGACAGGTCAATCGCTGTGTTGAAATGGTTCATTGTGAGTACGAGGCTACCCATCCCAGAGCCGTGCACTGATACATGGACTTCAGAGCACACTCAAGGGTCAATATACTTCACGTAATGAGAAACTTGGATCAGAGAAGAAGTGCGTAATCCCACTACGTTACTTTCCTATAGCTCAGGTATTGATACCTCGCCGACTGACAGGCCGCTGAACCCTGTCCTCGGAGAGTACGTATCGCCTTCCCTTCACTACACTTCAAAATCCCGACCGTTGTGCTATGTAGGCTCTTCTACGGATTCTGGCCCGATGTAGACGGCCGTGGACAGACGAATCTCGTCGTCGAGCAAGTCTCGCACCACCCGCCCATCACGGCATACTACCTCTCCAACCCTTCCAAGGGCCTCGTCCTCCAGGGCCACTCCGCGCAAAAGACGAGCTTCTCTGGCGGCAGCATCATCGTCAAACAGATCGGCCACGCTATCCTCACGGTGGACCTTCCAGACGGAGGCAAGGAGGAATTTTTGATTACCTTGCCCCGCCTCCGCATCGACGGTCTCTGGTACGGCTCTCCGTACATTGAGTTGACGGAAACTTCTTACATCCAATCATCCACTGGCTGGCTCTCGACGGTACGTATGTTTTCTACCTTACACTCGTCCGAGCGTTAGCTGACAGACAAACGTGGCATGTTTTGGTAGATCGAGTACAAGGGCAAGGGCTACTTCTCCGGACGCTCGCACTCGTTCAAGGCGGTGCTGACCCCACCCGAATCGACGACCCCCGTGAAGCGGTATGAGGGCGTTTGGCACGAGACATCCAAGGACCTCGACACGGGCGAGACGTTCACGGACGTGACGTCAATTAAGGAGGAGGTTACCGTCGGCCCGATCGAAAACATGCACGAGTTCGAGAGCAGGCGCCTTTGGCAGCACGTCGCCCGCGGGATCCGGGAGGGCGATTACGAGACCGCGAGCAAGGAGAAGAGCAAGATCGAGGTGCGCGGCTTGTTTGTCACATAGGGTCGTTGCAGTTCTGATTGGCATGCTTGGGTTTGCGCACGCAGAACGAGCAGCGGCAACGACGGCGCGACGAGCAGGCGGCAGGCACGCCGTGGAAGCGGTGGCACTTCGAGCATATCGAGTCAGACCCCGTGTATGAGCGTCTTGTGAAGATGTTCAACGGCTCGCCCCCGACGGAGGACACGTACGTCTACCAGCACAACTACGACGTGACGCCCTCGGCCGCGTCTTGATGGGATGCTCGCGAGACGGCGGCTTGTGGCGATGATAGAACTGTACTGCTATTACCTTGTGTACGGACAGAGTTTCCCTTTCTTTGACTTCGTTCAATTGAAGATATTACTGAAGTTGTCGGTTGAGATAATGAACAGTTTTTTACGACATATAATTCAACGAAGGAAGCGATAGAAATCAAGCATAGCCTCCAGAAGGCGTGACGTGCTCTCACAAGCAACACGTAGAGTGGGGATCCGTGCGGGACTGCTCGAATACCACGGCGGCATGGCAGACTAGCTGTTTCCCGGCATCTGAAGATTTCGGTGTGTGCCTCCGTGAACCTGTAGTTGTGTCTTATGACGAACGGGTCCTCCTCGGTCTCACAAGGAAGGCGTGGCGCTCTAGTCCTGATGGTACAACCATTCGAGGTCTCTAATGCCGGACCACACAGCTTACTCAAGTTATTGCGCCTAGGCCTGCAATAGGCCATGGACAGACGCATACCGTCGCTCCATAGCCAGGACGCCCTAGGAAAGCATGCGCAATGACAGCCGAGCGCCTTAAGCACACGTTACTCAGCGCGGGTATCTCTCCAGTCGACTTATGAACACCAGACCAACATGGGCGGAGACCACGTTCATCGTTCCTTGCCCTTGTAGGCCCCTGAGCATCTACTGGCACCCACGGGAAAACCCAACCCGCCGCCTTCAGTTGCCCTCTCGTTCTGAGTCACAGGCGCCTCTCGACTCCAGACTGTTGAAATATTTCTTGATTGCTAGCTTAGATGTCTCGCAACCTTATGATATCGTGCATCTTTCTCTTGGCTCTCGGTATCATATGTGAGTATCTGCTGTTGATTCAAGCGTGCTGCTCTTGTCATGACCGCATTCTTCTAGCTATGATCGTGCTCCAGGATCATGGAATCACCTTGTACATGAAATGAACCATTGAGGAGCTATTACGTCCTGCGACAACTGCAGGTGGCCAATGGGAATGTATGTCAGACTTGGTCATCTTGCGCATTTCAGTAATGACTTTCCCTATAGTCCCTCAGGCTGAGGTGATCACCGAGTGGGCTAAGAAGTATCGGAGCGATAAGGCCGCTAAAGAAGGTCAGTGCGCAAGTATAGTATGTGCCCTGTCATGATGAGAGCCTGAGCATCAAAGCGTTGGGAAAAAAGCCTTAGGGCGATGTTTCAACTACTATGGCTGCACTTGGACCGCGTGACTAACACGAACACGAACTTGTGACAGACGGTTTGACATTCGTGACTGAAGACGGATCTGCTCAATTAGGGTCATGGGATCGCGCGCAAGCAGACCCTACTAGGTAGTATAATAAGGGCATACAGATGGCGTCTCCCGCATCGCGCTTTCCCCTGACGGCATGTACATTGCCAGCGGCTCCTACGCTACCATGGGGATCCTGCACGGCGGTACCAGTGACGCTGTCATACAAAAACTCACCAGGTACAACGTATGTTCGGCCCCTGGGTGCGAAGCCACCTGAAGCGGAGTGTTACACGATTGTGAGTAAACGATTGAGTCCGTTCAACATTGCTTCGCAACGTGAGGACTTCTGGCTTCAATACAAGCGCCAGGTCTCACGGCGGAATTATCGCTTGCACTGTCTGCGAACGCCATATAGGCTAGTTCGACACATGCAATTACTGGCTCGCTACCAAGGCCGTCGCGCGCAAAAAATGCAGCGAAGGGAGCAATGCGCAGTTTTCTGATGGAGCTAGAAATACATGGGTGGTACCGAGCATAAGTTAAGAATCAGACTTGAAGGAGAGGTAGCGGCTTGACTATGCTACAGGCCTGTGGCCCAATGGTCCGTATCTCAGAGAGGCAATAGGTCCGGAGAGATGTGCAAAAGAAACGCAATGAAGTCGTATGTAAACTGAAGAGGGCAATAGCGTCATCAAGAGTGCGGCGATCATGCCAACGACGAGCTTTGCAGAGACGAGATGGGATCAGAGTGCGAGAGGAATTCTGTTAGATTAGTTGAAATTCTGTACTGGTGCTCGAGCAGTTTTGGATTGCGAAGATTGAGCATGAGGCGTGTCATGAGGGTACTCGCAATTCTAATCAATTCATTAGGGTATGGGCGGTAGAGGAGGGGATTTGGCAGGCGTACACGTTTGTCGTGGTGACACTGATACCTCGGTAAGCCGACTCCGGAGCGTCTGGATTTCAGAGTGAAGCGCAATGCATTCGGGATCTGAGGCTTACTTGAGAGAGCTAGAAACTCGGTCATGCTCATGAGTGTGCGTCCCCGACTGTTCAGAGTATCTCACCAGACAGGTTGATATGTTGCACACATGACACACGAGTAGCACCCTGCGAACATGAGACATGATTAGTCAGGCGCAGTTCGCATTGATGACACGGCGGGCAAAGCGCCAGGCTCCAAGCAGGGAAATCTGTGCAGCATTTATAGGCAATGCAACCTGGCCCTAGCATTTCCAGTGGGCCTTTGTATCCCTCTTTGTCATTTGGGTAATCTTATGGGCACGTTGCATCGCCCGTATGTTTAGCGTAGATTTCCTCACCTGGACCATCGCGCTTTGCCTGCCGTGTGATTTGCTCTGCAATGTCATACGCGAAGTACAATGCGCCTAGGTAAAGTCCATCAGGATTTGTGCCAGCGCAGGTCTCTTTACTTTCCTGTGGTTACTCACCATCACGCATCAGGATGGTCAGTATATAACCTCTACATCTTGATTCCACTCGAAGTACACGATGCATCGTGAGAATGAAGACAGTCAGGTCATGGCCAAGTATACTGGCCCAGACGATGGCTAAATCTGGAAGTTTTCCTCGAAGCTGAAGCTAGACTGGAAGGGATAGTATAGCGAACACACATGTCACGTACATTTTCCTCTGTAGACGGAAACAAATCAAAGCGTTCACGTCATACTCGGTTAAGTGGATCATGCACAAGACTTACTGAGCCACAGTTATAGTGAGATCGCAGCCAACACCAGGTATACCATTCTCTCGTATGTAACTCGAAGGCATCTTCCGCGTCTGCGAATATGACCAGATATGACCACTGTATATCCGGAGAATACCCGTCAGAGTTCCAAATACGTATATATCCAAAGGAGAAGCACGCACGGCTGAGATCATGCAACATACGATGAAGATAGCGAACACCATGGAGATAACCCGACGACTACCTCGGTACAGCGCATACAGGCGGAAGAACTGAAGCCCTGATGTAGTACACGATACAACGTCACACAGTGAGTTTTTGTGATGACAATTAAGCAACGGATATGACCATACCTGCAACGATAACTTGAATGGCTGCAGACCACAGCTGATGGTATATTTGCAGCTTCAGACATCTCCCAGGAGCAGCGTCAGCTGATAACAACTAGCTCTCGTCTGATATGGGCTCACAGCTAGGCGGCACAGAGTGTGCATCAATGTCCCGCTCGATGACCATTACATGCGCAAGACTCACATTCTCATCGGAGACGCGATAGAGCTCGTACAGAACAAGGACGTGACTGAACAATGTCAAGTACCGATTGAGATAGAAGATGAATGAGGCCAAGCTGAAGCATGCCTTCCAGAACAGCGCCACCTCAGCGCTGAAGATCAAAATGTAGTCGTAATAGAGAATTGCTGACGAATGGACGTCATCAAAATATGCGGGTCTACTCAAGGACATTGTGAGGACTCACCAAGAGCTACTGCCGACGCGATGCGAGTGATATAGTCGGAGTCAGCGCTGGGTGGGGATGGCAGTCTTAAAATCATGGTTGTGTGGGGATTGACAATCGGTATTGTTCTCACATTGCGAAACGTGCATCTGTGGTGACTGCCGATGAAAACATCTACCTGTAGTCCGCAAACAGTGTGTGGGGGGAAAGAAAGTCAGAGTCGGCTGGAAGCGTAATATGGAGCTGGAGGCTGGAAGGTCGCTGCCGTGGGAGTTATCGAGTCTCATAGAAGGGTAAACAGTATCCTGTGCTTTATAACCTCTTCGAGATTCGCGCCACTGGTAGAACGTTACCAACTGAAACAAGATGATGAACACGGGACGGGAACGAGTATCAAGAGCCACAAGCAACGGATGGAAGATCTGCCAAACAAAGACGTGCTCAAGCATGCAATCGAGCCCGAGTCGCATTGCCTACAGAACTAGAAGCAGAGTATATGGCTCGTAACCGTGAACGGTCAGATCTACGAGTCCTGTACTGGGGCCATCAGCGCTCAGCCTCCGACCTCTCCCAACAATAAGCCCTGCCACCGGATTTGGGCCAGACTTCCCACTTCCAAGACTAAGGTCGCTCGGGATTGCTTGATATCTCTGACTGTCTCTTGGAGCTATGGGCATTAGAGAAAGGCGGCCCGTTATGGGTGGGATGAACAGGAAGGGTATCAAATTCCAAAGTCCAAGCTTCAAGCTGACGGACGCATACTGCAGTACTTGCGAGTATTTGCCATTTCCCCAGTACGACGCTACACGACGATAACACAATTGTTAAAGAAATCAAGAATGAATGGATGGAATGGTGCAGCATGCATCTCGATGTGCATTGTCACCAAGGTAACGTAACCGGTCCGGAGATGAGCTGAGCGGCAGAATACACTGATCCGGCGGCGTACTCGATCAACAAGCGCGGATGCACTCACATCCAGCAACATAGCCGCTGTGTGGGTAACAACTGAAGTCCCTCCACTTCTCGGTGGAGACGCCATTAGAGAAGCCACGCACCAAAAATCTCTATGTGCACGTAAGCGTAAGCATGAACATTTGGGGATAGCCATGCACTTATCCGCTTGTACGTCTCGCAAAATCATATTGCCAGCGTTGAATCGATTACAGGTCTCGTCCCACTGATTATAACAGGCAAAAGTCCCTTACCTAGGCGCCGCGGACTGCGAGTCGTCTGAGGGGGTTGATCGGCCTGGCCGCCAGCGAAGCCCCCATGTCTGACGATACACCGATCTCAGTCCACGAGGGCCAGTGGCATGTCCTCAAGCGCGGCTTCAAGAGTGCCATCATCCCGATAGGCACGCGCGAAGGGCATGGCACTCACGGCTTGGACTGTGCTGTGCGGCGACAGGATAATTACGGGTGCATAGGAGCTCAACCGTCGCAAGTTTCGCGAGGGTGGACAGCCGATGCTCATCGGAGACTAGCAACGCACCGAGGAGTAAAGTCGCGAAGGTCCTCGAAGGCGTCGCTGACAAGACTGGCGAGGTGCATCAACGGAGATCGGCTCCGGGATACTCAGAGGATGCGGTCGCCGTAGTGTGCGTGATGCAGAAGACTCCTCATGTCTTCCCAATTATCGTGGTGCGCAAAACCTAGCAACTGTATGTTCAGACACGGGCGCTTGGCGATGCGCTCACAGACGCGCGCATCAAGGAAATGAATTGCGTAGTGTCTTTAGTCAAGGGCAATATATAACATGGTCTCCTACGTACCTTTTAGCCAAGAACGGCTTGTGACACTAGTCGCGGATATTGGCAAGCATTACCAGATATTCAATGGGTGTACAGAGTCGACCGCGCCCGATTCGACTAGGGCCCTGTTGCAACCCGAAGTGCCTCCTCTGCCACGGAATTGTAGGACGAGGAACGTCGATATGTGACTCGCCAGAGCGCCGATGCACAGCGGTTGGCTTGTATGGAGCAACGAAGAGCATTGGGTCTTGGACGTCGTCCGGAAGCCGCTCAGTCACTGGTGACAAGACGGTTCAAGGCAGGATCGGGAGCCTCCGTTCCCGGGACCCGGACACATGGCAAGCGCTCATATGGCAACCCAATCCCAAATCGGTTAGACGCTGAGTTGCACACATTACCGTTTCCGGTTCTGCCTCTTTTTCCCAATAACCACCATGATGACCACAGCACGTCCAAAGATCTCAGCGTACGAGAAGAGTATGCCCGACTCCTTCTATCATTGACTTTTCTCTCTAACGGCACCTTCCCAGGGAATGAGCAGTCAAGCGTGGTTCCGCTAGGTAGAGCTCGAATTATCTTCCTTGTGCTTCGTTCCTTGCTCACGTTTGACAAGACCCCGACTCGGACTCAGATTTCAACCCTGGATCGTTCATACCAGAAAATAAGAAGCGTCATAGTAAGTCGAGCAATAGTCAGAAGGCAGGCGAGCCGCCGCGCAAGAAGCGGCCCAGAGAGACACTCAATGGCATTGGCGCTTCCAGCAGTGGTTCTCGCACTCGCTCAGTAGGTAAGACGATAGCATGGTCTACTGTTGGCTCTGTTGATTTACTATCAGATATAGAGGAAGAGAATATAGCAGAGGCATCTCCTCCACCGAGAAACCTTCTAGTACAATACTTCGGTGAGCACGATCCACCGTAAGTGGCGAGGTAGTTGATTCTGATCAATCACAGGCAATCTCGGTATCGCGGTGGACTCTGATAGCGAGAAAGAGGTTGCTGATGATGAAGAGGAAGAAGAAGAGGAAGAGGAAAAATATCAAGATTTGGACGAAGAACTTCAGGAGCAGCGAGAGCTAACCACGAAGGTGTCCGCCGCTCTGTCCACGGAAAAGTCGACGTCTCCGACCAAACCTGCAGAGGATGCTTGCGACTCAGTCACTGGTAAACTCGTCTTGTGTCTGGATACGCCAGTTACTCATTTTGTTTGACAGAGTACGAATCCGATGAAGCTGAGGAATTTCATGTGGACCACGGGGAACAGCAACCACCAGGCATTACTCAATCCAGCAGCACCAGACTGTCGACAGCGAAGAACCCACCCGCAGCCCTCACCGACGACTCCATCACTGAGCCCGAGTCGGATGAGTTCGACTGGCTGCACGAAGAAAGTCTGCCCGCCGCGTCCGTTTCGGTGCCCAGCTCCTCGTCTGGTTGGGTTTCTCCTCTATGTATCAATGGATTGTACCTGATAGCTACGTCTAACACAGGATCGAAGGCGCCCATTGTGGTCAAGAAGACAACATCCTCCCTCACGCATGCGAAACAAGCAGATGACTCAGGATCTGATACGGAGCCCGAGTATGAAGTTGACCCTTACGTAGAAGAGGTACGCTACCTTGTATCTCGCCTACTACCAGCCCTTACCAGATGCTACCGAGCGCCAGTTCACTCAGCCGAAGCCGCTCTTCCAATTGAAGCCCGGGCAGCAAGTGACTGGCCCTCTCGTCCTGGACAGGGAACACAAAGTCCCAGAACGCATCAACACGTTCTTGCGTGAGTACCAGCGCGATGGGATTAGATTCTTTTGGAAGAAGTACATGGAGGGTAGGGGCGGACTGCTGGGAGATGACATGGGGCTAGTACGTGTAGAAATTATCCAATTTTACTGTTTGCTCACGTCCTCTCGCTCCTAGGGCAAGTATATGAGTGGAATGCTTTGACTCTTTGACGCCTTGACTAACTGATCGCGCAGGGAAGACGATCCAGGTGATTTCGTTTCTTTCCGCCATAATGCAGAAGCGCGGAGAGACCCTCGACATAGATCGGCGACGAAACCATGTCTCTAAGCTTCAAGACAGCTCAGATTGGAAGAAGCGTCGGAAGTTACCCGCAGCAAATGCAACGTGGCCGACGTGCCTCATCATCGCGCCGAGCAGCGTAGTCGGAAATTGGGAGCGCGAGTTCAAGACGGTACGTAGCCAAATTCTTCACAGTTCTTATATGCACCAACGACTCCGCAGTGGGGATATTTCGAGATCGGGATGTATATAGGTCCCCCTGCGGCTCGCGCTGAAGCTCTAAACGACTTCAAATTGGGTCGCCTCGATGTTCGTAAGTGATGCTCGTCAGCTGAACCTGACCTTCCCTGATGGCCTGCCCAGTCGTGACGTCTTTCGACGTTGCAAGGATGGACATTGATCTGATAGATGAGCTCCCTTGGTCATGCATCTTCATCGATGAAGTACACCGTGTGAAGAATCCCAGGTCGAAGCTCGCCTCTGCCTTCAGTAGGTTTACGTGCAAACGCAGGTACGGATTGAGTGGCACTGGTACGTCATCCTCAGCAGCCTCGGGATGCCAGGTTAACTCAGGGAAATATCCTCTCAGTGATACAGAACGGCTATGAAGAGCTGTGGACTGTTCTGAACTGGACAAACCCGGGTGCAGTCGGAACTCGGAAGCAGTGGGAGAGCTACGTCGAGAAGCCGCTGCGCTTAGGACAGAGCAAGTCAGCCTCTGACGAGGAACATGTCAAGGCGGCCGTGAGTGGTTATTCCCTTTTGCAATCGCAGTGAATTTTCTTACTCAGTGTGCAATACAGCTCGTTGCCAAGGTGCTTACAGAGAAGCTGCTACCGCAGCTATTTCTTCGACGGTGAGTACATGTCATGTAGTCTCCACGTCCAGGTGTCTCACATACCCTCATTAGGACGAAGCAAATCATTCAGGACCAACTCCCACGCAAGACGGACCAAGTAGTCTTCTGTCCATTGACCCCTACACAGGTCGCCATTTATAAGCGAATCATCAACCTTGACGCAGTCAAGTCTCTCATCTACAAGGATGCACTATGCACATGCGGGTCGCGAAAACCGTACGTCTTTTCATGCCGCGTCGAACAATGATCGCTGAAGACTTCCATCGTCGCAGGAGGAAGAAATGTTGTCATCCAGTCCATCAGGGGGATTTATTCAAGTACATGTCGACGTTGATCAAGATTTCAAACCATCTCGCATTGATCCTGCCTTGTGCGTCTGCGGATTTTTTCACATATGACATCAGATTAATTACTCTGCACACAGCTCCAACGGATACGATTGAACAGGTTAGTTGCACCTGGTCCGTGCTCAATACTCTAACTTATATCGTTCACAGACTGCGCGGAACAGGGAACTCGCTCGCATGGCGTTCTCTCCGGGTCCTATTCCCAAGTACGGTCCTGCAATGCTCAAGCCGGACTATTGTGGAAAGTGGCAGGTCCTGGAGACCCTGTTGAAAGACTGGAAGAAGGACTCGAACAAAGTCCTCATCTTTACGAAATCTGTCAAGCTCCTCGAAATGTTGGAGTTCCATCTCAACGCTGAAGGTGCGTTTCGGCAGCAATGTTGGAACGATCACTCACCATTACCTCCAACCATGACAGGTCATGGCTTCGTCAAGCTCGATGGTTCCACGAAGCAGTCCGAACGTGGGCGATCATTTGTGCCCCATCTTTCATGATTTGAGCACTGACATATATATACTAGGAATGCCTGTCATCGATAGGTTCCAAGAGGACCCCAACATCTTCATCTTCTTGATCTCGACGATGGCTGGGGGAACAGGTCTCAACCTCACGGCGGCAAACAAGGTGGTCATCTTCGGTGAGTCCACGTTCTCGCGTGTTCCGAAAGAAGGGTCTAAGGGCAGCTTTGTTGCAGACCCGAATTGGAGTAAGTCGTGCGTAATATCTCGACAGTGGTTTACACGATTGACGCAACGACGCAACATCCGCAGATCCAGCGCACGACTTGCAAGCCATGGACCGAGCGTATCGTTTCGGGCAGACGCGGGACGTATCCGTATACCGTTTGCTTGGTGCTGGTTCGATCGAGGAATTGATTTACGCCCGTCAAGTCTACAAGCAGCAGCAAATGCAAGTCGGGTACAACGCAAGCCTACAGACACGGTGCGCGATGCCTCTCCGAAGGGCGTTGTTGGTATTGAAGTGGTTTGCCCTCAGATACTTCGAGGGCGTGCAGGGTGACAAGAACAAGCAGGGTGAGCTGTTCGGGATCAAGAACATCTTCAAGCTACACGAGTCTACCTTAGCGACAAAGATGGCGGTATGGGCTGTGCTCAGGGTCCCTGGATTCTCAAGAACTCATCAGATGCCCATTAGATTGAGCGCGCGAACATCAGCGATCTTGACTGGGCATTTGCTTATATGGGCGGACGCGGAGGCGCGAAGCGTCCGAAGGCAAAGCATGATGGTGTCAAGTGGGTATACGAAGAGGAAGCGAAGACGGGGAAGGAATATGTGAGAGACCTTCACCCCCTCACTTGTTATGACGCTGTTAACATGAATCTGCAGGACGAATTCCGTGGTCTCGGCGCTTTGTTGTTTGACGATGGTGAGCACCGGCTTGTCGCCGACAGAGGAGCCCTCTGATCCATGATCGATCTTGTAGCCGCACCCGAGATGACAAATGAACCGAATGATGTTGAGAAAACTCTTAATTCCCTCGGCGTTCAGTATACCCATCGTAACGACGCTCTCATCGCGGAGAGCACTATCGAGGGCCAGCGAGTGCAGAAGCTCATCGAAGAGAAGAAGAAAGCTGCGAAGAAGGCGAAGTTGCGACAGAAATCTGGTAGAGACAAATCACCCGAGCCGGAGTGGCCTCCTCGACGTAGACATCACAAACCACCGCCTAGTCCTGCTTCGAAGTGAGCTCTCATCTCTATGCATAGCACAACTACTCATAGGTGATCGTACCAGGCTTCAAACTCGACAGAGAGCATTGATCGAACAAGGTCTCCTGCAGGGTCCGGAGGACCTGCCTAAGTTCGCTCAAGAATTGTGAGTGACAGTCATCACTACTACGACGATAGAGGTTCTGACTCCATAACAGCGCACAGAAGTCACTACAAGAGCAGAACGAATTTCTCGCACAATTGGACGCGTACGCAAAGGCTCACTTCAAGTAGGCTTCGTCCTCCTCTCCCTTGCATGTATCCATGTACGAGAAACGGAAGGATATTGTAGTGTAGGTTCCTGCTGCTCTCGCATCAGTGCTGTAACGCTTTCCCATCGATAAATGTAATTGTATACAACAGTGCCCTATGTCACTTGAATGTATTGCCGTTATGTTCACATGGTCCAGAATAGTATACTATGCGTCAAACCGACCAACTTGTGCCGACACTATCAACATAGAATTGTTATAACCAGCAACAGAGAGTACGGTATGTTGACAAGTCACATCCTTCGTGACACCCCCAGCTCAGACCTCTTGATCTGCCAGAGAATTGAGGATGACAAGTTATCTTGAGAAGGAATTGAGTGTATGTCTCGAAATTGCATTGTATTGTGCGTGATCATTCCGCATGGACGCATCATCGCTGCGCCGCGCAGATGCTGTAGGACCGGAAAATAGTAAGCCCCCTTGCATCATATCGGCTCTCCACCTTCATGATTGGCCATTGTTTTCAAGCCCTCGAGGTACTGATGGATCCGTCTCACAGCCCCCCGTGTGGCTCGGCGCTTCTGAATAGGTGGCCAGGCTACTACTCCCGGTCTCGGTGGCGAATGTATCGAGAGCGACAGTGGCGAACACCCAGGTCGTGGCTGCAGACGGTGGCTCTGACAGATGGGGTTCGCGCATGGCTGGGTCGCGGATGTTTAGCATCAAGCGGGACATCAACGAGGTCGAAATCCTGCATAGGTGTTGGCATCAGGAAAAATATACCTGCCTCGAAAGAGGTATAGATGCTCCAGAGACCGATTAGACAGTCGAGGCAAGTACCCTGTTATGGAGACCAGCATAGCTCCCACTAGCGCCTCAAGAGGTCGCACGAGATCTACCTAGAAGCTCTCGAGTACTCTCGAGTACTCCCAAGCGGGCATCAAGACATTGATAGACATGGTATCGTAGCATGCACGCCCCTCACGAATCATCCATATGAACACAGAAACCAATATCATTCAAAGACTATAATACCCGCAGTATAAAAGCCACGCTACTAATCGTTGTAGTACACTAGTTCCCTCGAGTCCGAGTCCAAAGCGACCTTGCTCCGCCTCATCTTCGCTGTCAGTCCACCCTGTGCACGCTTCAAGCTTGGCATTTGCAACCTTCGTCGCTGCGTTTGTGACTTGCACAGTATGGGTGTCCAGTACAACGCCACTGCCACCACAACTACACCAACACGAGTCTATGGGGCAACTAACACAAGCAAAACGATGGCTTACCATCTACTCATTGCAGACCAATATGAACTCACCAAGAATAGACCAGAATTTAATGGTACCGCAGTCTAATAAACCGAGGAGACATACGAGCAGGGCTTGATAGATGAAAAACTCACAATAAACTCTGATGGTTCACTCACAGCGAGCTCAGGT